AATGGATCCACGATCGATCCTTTCTAAGAAGTAACATGATTTTCAAATCTGATCACAGCCAACTTTCCAACATCTTGAGATTGATCATGTATGTATGAAAATACTTGAACTAGCTAATTTGGTGTCCCAACACTAATGTTACCCCCTTTAAGACGAGAAAATATTGTCACAGATAATGAGGGAATATAATTATACAGGCCAACACATAAAAAATAAATAATGAAGTACTAAACTATTGTGGTATTTAAAGTATTAAATTGTCACAGAAGAATTTAATGCATTTTCTCTAGAAATTGGGGTGGGTGAGACTACTGTGGTATTGCATGGTCGCGCACTCCACATTAAACTACTCAAACATGTTGAATACATGCACAAGCCAGCTACTTTCTTATTTTATAATTCAAAAAAGATAACGTGTTAATTATATTTCATTAAATGGAGATTTACTCTCTGATGCTGCTCTTAGTGCATGTCAGTTGTCATAACAATTAAAATCATTTGTATTTATTATAGATCATGCTTTTTCCACTACTCTTTTAGTTTAGACATTCATTTTTTTTTATTTTGACAATAGTATCCTACCACTTCTGGTACAGCTCTACAAAAGTGATCTTTTTTTATTATTTGGTCAACTTTTTTTATTTTGTTTCTTCTTTTATTTCTTGCGATCCCACTTTCCTTCTTCTTTCTTGTTTTTTTTCCACGCCTTTGACGTCTCAGTTGTTTGCTCTTGCAAATCGTCTCTTTGCTCTCTCTTGTAGGCTATTCTCTTCTTTCTACTTCTCCCGCTCGTCTTCTTCTTCTTCCATTACACCCCGTCATCCTCTGTGTTCTATCTATAATGCCAACCCTATCATCCTCCACACTTTCAATTATAAAAGAAGCACTGGTTTTCTCTACCTGAAAATGGGGAAAACATCACTAGAGAAAAAAATAATAACTCAATAAAAACATGATTTTCAATGGCGATCAACTACAAAATTAAATAATATTAATCAATCACTTTCGTAAAATTATTTTTGTCGAAAAGAAAAGTTTCTAAGAAACCTATTTCTTTTCTCCATTGTTAAGTAAAATCTAGAAAAATTTTAACATAGACACTTCTTTAACAAGATCACTTATTTATAAACTTTCACTTTTGTTGTGTATATCACCATCACTTGTTTACTAGACAAAACTTATTTTTACAGAAGTAAAATCAAAAAATAAAAAGGAAAGCATTGTGCCTTTAATATATTCGGATTACCCACAATAAACAAAAAAATGAATTATTTAATTGTGGTAACTAGATCCTAAATAAAAAATGAAATAAAATAAAAATAAGGAAAGTAAATTGATTTGGGGCCACACTTTAAATTGCAATTGAATCATTGAGGATAATTTTGTCTTTTCAATGGAAAATGGAGTGGATTAGTCGTATAGAGGTTAGAAATAGCGCCGCCCATTATTAATTATTGTAATATAATCTCCAGAAGAAAAACAGAGCCAGATAGGCAAGGAGTGAAGATGTATCGGTCTTGCGGTCCTAAAGAGCTGCAAGTCCGATCCGGTCTTATGGGACATCTGTTCCGTGTCAGAAAGTTTAATGTGTACGAGTCATGTTGACAAGTGCCCCTAACGGGACCTGCCAATAGAACCCTGAACCTTAAACGTGTGTGTACATATACAAAAGGTCAAGAGGCTCGCGATAGAAGTCATTCACTATCATCTTAAAGTTGCGGTTCGTAACAATTTTCGTATCCCTCTCTTCGGGGTGAATTGACCCTGCAAGGATATGTATGTATCAATGTGACATCAAAGACATATTCATGATAAAATTGCAAGGTTTGTAAGAATTCTAGACCAAATTCTCTAAAAAAAATCTCAAATTTTAAGTCTAATCCCAATTTTACCTTGAACTTTTTGTTTGTCCAAATTTTTTTTTAACTTTTACTTTAATCCCAAATTCACCCATACATCCAAGAATTGCCGCTGGTGTTTTCTAAATTATCAATATCAAGGCCGGTTAAATGTTTCATTATTAGAACTGACGTCTTCATCGACACCCCAACCTTTGTATGGAATAATAGCAGACTCTCGATAAGAAATCAGTGGCGATTTCCGAGTGTGCGGACAAATTCAGGATTAGAAGGAAAGTTTGACGAATTTTTTCGGACAATAAATAAATTTGAGGCAAAGTTGAGATCGTACTCAAAATTAGGGTTTTTAATTTTATGGATTTGGCCAAAGAATTTTAAAGGGGGGGTCCCACCAATATGGCGGTGCCCTAGTCAGAAGGGTGGGAAGCAGTTGCCGTAGCATTAACTCTGCTCATCACTACCGTCCACCTTTCACATTAAATGTTCCTCACCCAACTTAGGAGTCCCCGGTGTCTCTCCACCGTCGGTTTCGTTGAAATCCAAAACAAGCTTTCTTTTCTCTTGCCTTCTTCTTGTGATCTTTCCAATTTGAATTCTACCCGCCATGAAAGCAACAAGTGATTATCCCAGTCACGTCCATCGCCCTCTCGTTCCTCATTAACACAATTCACCTGTTTTGAAGAACGTTTAAGTTCATTCACTCAAAAAAGAAACCCTAATCAAAACCCCGAATTCTCCGGCTCGAACTTCGTTTCCGCTTTTAAAAGCCCGAAACGACATCGTTTTGCCCCGAAATAGAGGAAAGTCCCATGGCTTTCCGGGCCAACCAACCCGGTGCTGCGCACATCGACACCGTAACTTGCATTAGCATTTGAATTTTCGCTTTTATAACTGCAATTTTGAAAATAAACAATTGTTCCCAAGTTTTTTATTTTGAGGGAGAGGACATTTTACATTGATAAATGCTTTTTTACTTCTATTCATATACATATTTTCATGAATGAAACTCGGTTTTCGGAAAAATAAAGACAACGGAAGAAGCAAAACACATAAAATTCTGAATTGGTAATGAAGATTAGGGTGTGCAACCAGACCGGGTTTACTCGAAAACCAAACCAGACCACCCAAAAAACAGGTTCGAAAATCGGTTCCCATTTTTGGGAACCGTTTGGAACTGGTCCGATTTTCGGTTCCAAGTAAATACTCACCCAGACCGGTTTTGGAATCGATTTTTAGCTTGTGTTAAAAAAAATCGTAAATTTTAGTATTACTATATTTTAGATTGTTGCTATTGATGGATTTTTTATTGCTCATTTTAGGGATTATTGCTTTTGGCGGATATTGATTTTTATTATTCATCTTTTATTTTGAATCGTTTCATTGCTACTCATATTATTTTGCTGAAAAAAATAAAACCAGAAAAAAGAACAAAGGAAAAACAAGTTCTCAGGTAGACCCTGAAACCGAACTAGAAAAACAAAATACGTTCCAAAACAAGTTCCGGGACAAATACGATAGATTCCAAGTTTCAAAAACTGAGAACCTGTTATAACAAGGTAGGTTTCATATTCCAAATTTGGAACTTACCCATCTTGAAACCAATCACCTCCAATGAAGATGCTATTATATGCAAAACATTGTGTATACTTAAAAGATTAATCCAACCAAATATTTTCGTTAACTATGTCGATTTTGAGGGATGGATTAACTCAAAGTGATTTTGTCAAGCATACTTTAACATAGATGTGCACCAAATAATTGGGTGCAATCTACACGAAATAGACTTAAAATAAGAGAGAGGATGGGGAAGGAGAGGGGGTTGTTGGACAACGCCGCCGCCGCCGCCACCACCGCTCCTTTGATGGCGAGGGCTAGAGTCTCGGCTAGGGCGCATAGCACTTGCACAGTTGGTGAGGGCAAATGTCCCACAGAGGCTACGCCACTATTTGTCATCATTGAGCGAGGGAGTGAGGGCCGGCTTATTCTTGCGTTGCGCGAAATTGGCATTGTATCAACACCAAGTGTTTTCGAAAATATTAAAGAAAGTCGCACGGAATGAATTTTGAATTTGATTGTGCTTTTTCGAAAATTTCCGATCTCATTTTACTTAGCCTCAAGACTTTCAATATACTTTACCCTAAAAATTTACCATAGATGGTATTATATATATATTATCTCTCATGAACTTAACGGCTCTCAACTTCTACTTCCATGCCCTGTTTTGACAGTTCAAAAGAAGGCCACGATCGTCTCCACACTAGAAACTTACGAGTTTTCTTATTTGGTTTAATACCACGAAAAACCTCAAATTGGTACACCTGTGATAAATTTACCTTAAACTATTTTTTTGACCACAAAAAACCTCAAATTGGTACAACTGTGAAAATTTCACTCCGAACTAATTTTTTAACCACCAAAAACCTCAAACTAATACATCTGTGATAATTTTACCATGAACTAATTTTTTTACCACAAAAAACTTCAAATTGGTATACCAGTGACAATTTTACCTTATGTTAGTTTCCGTTAAATTTTACTGTCAAATTGTTAAGTTTGATGATACGTGGTAGTTGACGGATGTACCAGTTTAGGATTTTACCCCTCTGTTTGTCACAAGTTTACCAATTTATGATTTTTCGTGATATTAATCCAATTTAACGAACACTAACGGAGGGTAAATTTATCACAAATATACCAGTTTAGGGTTTTTAGTAGTAAAAAAATTAGTTTGGAATAAAATTATTACAGGTATACCGGTTTGGGGTTTTTAGTGATTAAAAAATTAGTTCGAGGTAAAATTGTCACAAGTATACCAGTGTGAGGTTTTTAGTGGTAAAAAAATTAGTTTGGGGTAAATTTATCACAGATGTATCAATTTGTGACTTTTTGTGATAAAAAAATTAATTTTGGATAAAATTATTATAAATGTACCAATTTAAGATTTTTCGTAGTATTAAACCTTCTTCTTTTTATGCTTCTATCATTTGGAGTTTAGCCTTCAACAGTGACAGTTGATTTTTCAAGAGTAGCTATGAAGCAACGTACCCGGATGAACACGAAGCAAAGCCAGTATATAGAGTCTTGTACGTCCGGCCATCAACCTAATCGCATTAAAAATCACACAAGTTGCTGACCCAAAAACCCCAAAAAAAAATATTTCCACCGCACCATGTTGGATCTGTCATGCCCATACAGACAATCAGCTGTAACTCTTCAATTCCCCCCGCTAGAAAACAAAGGAAATAATCGTACTTTTAACATCTCGAACGCCGTTCTTTCGAGAATTCGGCGAGCTGTAAGTTCTTGAAACACACGACCGCAGCAGTTCCTCAACATCGCGGTCGAAGAAGAATATAAGAACAGAGCCCGGAAAGAGACTCTGTTTTGGTCTGAAGATCGAAAACGTGCGGGGAGTTTTTAGCGGCTGGACGAGGTGGGCAACCGCCGCTTCTCTGGGTGCTTCACCCTCGCGCTCTCCCTCCATGTTCTTACCTTCTTTGTGCTTCCTGAGCCCGCCGTCTGAATCTTGCACCCCGGTTTGCTGCGGCGGCTAGTGGGGCGAGGCTTCTGCGTCGGCTTGCCGTTTCGCTTTTCGCATAGGGACGAGATATGAGGAATTTGTGGAGCTGGAATGTGAAATCAATCGCAGCCCACGAGTTTTTAGTGCTCCAAGATTCAAATGTGAAAGCATCAAGCGGCCGAGCTCTTTTCTTGCTCACATGTAGCGCGAGAGCCTGAAAAGATTGGGGATTTGCGCTGCTCTTGTTGTCTGTTTGCTTTTTTGGGTCCCCTACTTGGCTCGACAGGGGAATGAATCATCTCCTTCTCATCAGAGCAATTCTTGTATCATTCTGTTGCACTCTAATTTGTGGAATTTCTGGCGTTGTCCCTCTGTAAAGCTGTGATAGCTTGGTCGAATTAGAGCTCGCGGTCATTTGTAAGTTCGTGCCTGAACGATTCGCAACTACAGTCGCTCACTGTGGAGATCTCTTTTTTCTTCTGGGTCCTCCTGGAAAAGGAAGATTCTTGTAACTGTTCTCTTGAATTCGGTTGTGGGTCGTGGAGACATGGGGACTTTGCATATCGCGGGCTTGTTGTGGCTTAATGCGTTTCTTCTGTTTGGGATTTGTATGGCGAGCATTCAGACAGTCGGTCAAATCTCTCCGGGGTTTCAAGGCTCTCAAATGAACTGGATCGATCATGGCGGCCTGTTTCTCCTGTCAAACGACTCCAATTTCGCTTTTGGTTTCGTTGCCAACTCGGATATCACTTCGTTTTCACTGGCTATAATCCATCTTGGCACCAAAGCAGTGGTCTGGAGCGCGAATAGGGACTCGCCAGTCGCGGCGTCGGACAAATTTGTGTTCGACGCTACTGGCAACGTGTTCCTGCAGAAGGGAGGGAGCGTTGTTTGGTCCACGGATTCAGGTGGAAAGGGAGTTTCGGTGATGGAGCTGCAGAATTCGGGCAATCTGGTCTTGCTGGGGAACAACAGCGGAGTGATTTGGCAGAGCTTCAGCCATCCGACGGATACGCTGTTGTCGGAACAGGAGTTCGCCGAAGGGATGAAACTGGTGAGCCAGAAATCGCAGAACTTGAGCTATACTCTTGAGATCAAGTCTGGAGACATGATTCTCTCTGCAGCGTATGGAACTCCCCAGCCATATTGGTCCATGAGGGGCGATACCCGGAGGATCATTAACAACCATGGTACCCAAGTCACTTCTGCGTCGCTCGATGCAAATTCGTGGAACTTTTATGATCAAAGCAGAAGTTTGCTGTGGCGGTTTGTGTTCTCAACGAATACGGATCCGAACGCCACTTGGATTGCAGTGCTGGGAAACGACGGCAGCATCTCGTTCACCAATTTGCAAAGTAGCAACACTTCTCCAACGCAAATACCGAACGACCCGTGTGGCACGCCAGAGCCTTGTAACCCTTATATGATCTGTTACAGCAATAAGATGTGCCGCTGTCTTCCTACTCTTAGCTCTTACTCGAATTGTGGATCGGGAATTAATTCTCCCTGCGATCGTTCGGCAGGTCCTGTAGATCTCATTAGTGTGGGGGACTCGATTAGCTACTTCGCTCTCAATTTCGTTTCGCCCTCTCTGAAAGCTGATCTAAATGGTTGCAAGACCTCTTGCCTTGCCAACTGCTCGTGCCTTGCAATGTTCTTCCAAACTAGTTCCGGAAATTGCTATTTGTTTAATGATGTCGGAGCTTTCAAAGCCTCTGAGAGCAGTTCCGGATTCACTGCCATGATTAAGGTATCGAGTAATGGAGGGGCTGGTGCAACTCCAGGAGGGAGCGGGAGCAGCAAGAAGCGTGTGATTCTTGTTGTTGTCATTTCGGTTGTGACCGTGCTTCTGGTTTTTGGTTTAATTTATGGAGGGTTCAGATGGTATGTGTCGACGGGAAAGTTTCCGGGAACGCCCGAAGGGACTTCAGAAGAGGACAACTTTCTGGAGAATTTGGCCGGGATGCCAATCCGTTTCAGTTACAGAGATCTTCAAACGGCGACTGACAACTTCACGAGGAAGCTCGGGCAAGGTGGTTTCGGCTCTGTGTACCAAGGAGTCCTCCCAGACGGAACGAGATTGGCTGTGAAGAAATTGGAAGGCATCGGCCAAGGAAAGAAAGAGTTCAGAGCAGAAGTCTCTATCATCGGAAGCATACACCATCACCACCTGGTCAGGCTAAAAGGTTTCTGCGCCGAAGGGTCGCACAGACTTCTGGCTTACGAGTTCATGGCCAATGGGTCTTTGGACAAATGGATCTTCAAGAAAAACAAGGACGACTGGCTCGACTGGGAAACAAGGTTCAACATCGCTTTGGGCACGGCAAAAGGACTGGCTTACCTGCACGAGGATTGTGACGTGAAGATTGTTCACTGTGATATAAAACCCGAAAATGTGCTTCTCGATGACGGTTTCCAGGCCAAAGTCTCGGACTTTGGATTGGCCAAACTGATGACCCGAGAACAGAGCCATGTCTTCACTACCATGAGAGGCACGAGAGGTTATCTTGCACCAGAGTGGATAACAAACTACGCAATATCAGAAAAGAGCGATGTTTACAGCTACGGAATGCTGTTGCTCGAGATCATTGGTGGGAGAAAGAACTACGATCCTTCGGAAACCTCGGAAAAATCTCACTTTCCATCGTACGCATTCAAGATGATGGAAGAAGGGAAATTGAGAGACATCGTCGATTCGAGCATCAAGTTCGAGGACAAAGACGACCGCGTCTCCGTCTCGATCAAAGTGGCGCTGTGGTGTATACAGGAAGACATGGCCATTAGGCCGTCGATGACCAAGGTCGTTCAGATGCTCGAAGGCATTTGCTCTGTACCCATGCCGCCGATGTCATCTCCTTTGGGTTCTCGCCTCTTCCCGAATATGTTCAAATCGATCAGCGAGGAGGGGACTTCTTCAGGGCCGTCCGACTGCAACAGCGACGCGCATCTCTCTGCCGTTCGGCTCTCGGGTCCCAGATAACAGCAATAGATATGTTGTCCATCCTATCTTGTTAGGTTCTTTACATGTATACTTTGTCAAAGATGAGATGATGATACGGTGTATATTATTTTGATCACTCCAATTTTTTGTAATGCTAGAGTGGATACCGAAGAAGCTTTTGGTCTTCTGCTTTTGTGCTTTTGCAGCATGTATAGGGAGAAAGGTGAGATCAGATGTGAATGCTAGTGAAATGAAGCAAGACTTGGAGCCGTTTTTGGGAGAAAGGTGCCTAGTTTGAAAAGATTTGAGAGCCGGTTTTCAATTTGAGAAAGCTGTTCAAACTATAAAAGTCGCTCCTGTTAACATCAGCACTTTGCTTTAATCATCATCTTAAGAGTAATTTGGCTTTGGCAGAAGGACAAAAAAGAAAATCAATGGTGATGGACCACCCGGACTAAAAACATGAGAGAAAGTACAAAATCATGTGGAAAAGAACCGTTATCCTTTTGAATCTGACAGCAGCTGACTTCATTGTTAGAAATGTGAGGCTCATCGATGCCATTAGTCAAGACTTTTGTTCTATCTTTTGCTTTTTTGTTCATTTCTTATTTAGTTACTTTATATTAACAAGGGTGTGCAGTTTCCATGGTAGTACCATATAGGACTTGCTCCATAGGTATCGACTCCAAACTTTTAGAACTTGAAACCTACCGTGTACGCTGTTGGAACCACCTTAGAACTCGAAACCTATTGGGTTCCTTTGGTTATAGGGTACCTTGTATTTTTCCAAATTTTTTTTATTGAATAAATATCATCACAATTCTAGTTATTAATAGAACATATTAAATGACAAAGTACATGTACATGTCTAATGATAACATAATACTAAAATGATATGACAATGAAAGGAAAAAAACAAATAAATGAGCTAGTTTCCACCTGTCATTTAAATTTATGAGTTTACATAAAAATTTATCACACTCTATCGGCAAAAATGTGTCACTGTAGACATAGCTAAACTTATACTTGGTACAAATACATTCAATTAACATATACTAAACCGGAATATTGTACCTGGTACAATATGTTGAATATCCGGTGGTATGACCCCAAATCTTGAAACCAACCTTATTTTCACCGGTTTTAAAATTTGGAACTCAAAACCTACTTGACCATGTCAATTCTGCGGGGTTTGTACGCTTCTTAAGTTCTCTAGGCAGTGTTAATGCTATTCATTAGGCCTATCAATTGAGTGGGTTGGGTCGAAAATGACCAGACTAGCAATGCAATTTTGCCAATCCATACCTCACCCAAGTCGAAATCCAGTTTTAGAAATTTTTCTCCTTAAATAATTGCTTTTGAAGAATAGTCGGCTCTATAAACCGGCTCGTCAAGTCAATGAAGGATCTCGGGGCCGGTTTATGGACAGGGGGCGTTGGTGGTGAATCAATCTCAGGCAATTTTTAGAACGGTCAATCAATCTCTCGAATGGGGATAGAAACTTACGAGGGAAATAGACAACTGTGGACCTAAGTTCCACCATTCAAACTACCTTCTTTCTTTCACTGTTGCTGCATGGACAACTGGCTTACTGAACTACCAATTCAACAATTAACAACTTTTCTCTATGTTTGCATCCTAATATGTTCTACTTGAAACCAGACCTTGAATCACAACCAGCTTCTCTCCCACTCAATTTCACTCTTCACTGGAACGAAAAAGGCGGTCGAACCAGAAGCAGAGTCCAAGGCCATAGCCAAGATCACAGAGCCAAGGTGTTGGGAAGACACAAGAAGATGCAAATCCATCCACTCCAACCTTTGGAAGAGTTAAAGCTTTCGATTCAAACCACAAGAAAAACGTTTTCAGTGTCCATCCCACAAGAGGCAAACTCTGTGACTATGAGTTGTGATTTGCAATGCGATTCCCAGCATCAGAACAAGAACAAAAGGAGAGGCATTGACTCGTATATCTTTGGACTTAGGAACAAGATCATTATCCTCACCAACTCACAATCTGGACAGGCCAATTCAGCACTGCACAAACAGTCCCATCTCCTCTCGAGACATCCCGTAGAATCGGACCGACACAGAGTCCATGATGCCAATGCGAGCTAAGGCGGACTTTTGAACGAAACCACCACAAAGAAAGGCAACATCTCGAAATTCCCAGAAGGAAAAATCCCATTTCACGTGTCTGCATTAACTTGCCACTCCGGTTCCATTTCAAGTTATTAGGCACGAGGTCGGAAGGCAGAGTCTATCGAACTCAGCTCACAACAAAAACGTCACCTCTCAACACTAACCAAGAATAGCCAAATTTAAAAGCCAGAGGAAACATTCGAACATCTACAAGGACTTTAAGCACATCCTCGGCACCGCTGAAGGTGAAGGCCTGACCTTCCTCCAGGTTGAGCACCTTCACAACACCCTCCTCTGCAAGCAGCGCCATACTGCCGCAACCCGCTTCCCGAGCCCCGCTTGCTCATTGCTCAAGTCGAGGTCCGCACCCGGTTGCCCTCGTGAACTCTCCGTTCCCGTCCGGCAGCAGCATCACTTCGTCACCGACCCCTAGGCTCTACTTCCTCGCACGCGCGCACGATGAAGGTGTCGTTCACCGAGATGCACGCGATGGTGTCCACGCCCTTCGCCTTCAGTTCCGCCGTCTTCCCGGGAACCCCGGCAGTCGCTTGTACGTCCACGTCAGGGTGACGCTAGCTGATCAGCTGGGATTGGAGAGGAGGAAGAGAGCGCGGCAAGAGGAGATTCGCGATCGGTGGAAGCAAGAGGGAGGGAGGGAGGACATAGGAGCTAGACATATTTTTCTGACTCCGGTTGATCTTTCTTGTGCTTTGATCTTTAAAACCAAAAATGACCCTTAAGTTGGCTCACGTGACTCATTTATATCGTTTTGGATAAGAATATGAATTTGTGATCCATTTTAACAACATGCTATTCATCTATCTATTGTTCAACTTGTCAGATCCATTTTTTAACCTATATTTAATGGATTTTGTTGTTATATGAGTTAGTTATATTCATTAAACGGATCATAAATGGATTTGAAATGGTAAGGCCTAAAAAAATATGGACGTTAAATGAGTTCACAACTTACTTAAACTCAATCCACTTCCATGGCTCTTTCTTCAGTGTCTCTCGCCCTCGCTCGAGGCCGCCTTCTCTCAATCTGTGCTCTCACCTTAATTTGGGTACAAATTTTTCCGAATTATATTATCTATTCAAGCGTTTTAATAATAAAACGGATCAAGAGTCGGGTATGTGTCGGGCCAATTTGGGTCGAATCATTTTCGACCCGACCTGAACCCGACCCGATATCCCCATGAAGGATGATTACACTCTCCTTCCATCACTCTCTTGTTTTCCTTGAGGGCAAACAAGGAGGAACAAAACAAAATTTAAAAGATAAAACGACCTTAAATTCCATCTCATCTTCCATGGCCAAGCCAACGGTCTAGCTCCACACTGGCACCAATCCATATTCCACTCTCTCTCTGCAGCTTCCGGCACCGGCACCGGCGCCGGGATGATGGCTTCGCCGTCGCCGTCGACCCCCCTCTCCCCCTCACCTGCTCCTGCTCCTCCTCCTCCAGTTCCCGTCCCTCTTCGCTCCGAACGAAATTCGAAATGCCCGCCAAATCCCGGCGGTCTCCTCCTCCCCCGCCGGTCCGGTCTCGGGCCGGAGCTCTCGAGCCTCCGTCGAGCGCCGCCGCGGACGCCGCTCCTTCAGGTACGCGCGCTTCCGTGCGCAAATCCGTGCTCCCCTGGTCGATGTTCTGATGAATCCGATTGTTTTCGCGGTCTTCCCGACTCGCAGCCGGAGACGCGCTTCGCGTCTCGAGGAGGAGGAGGAAGCTCCTGTCGGTAGCCGCGTTGCCGTTTCTCCTGCAGTTGCGCGATTGCGCGGAGGGAATCGTCGCCAGCGCCGCCGAGTAAGCTTGACGCGATTCGCAAACTGCTCGGATAATCTTTGCTTTAGTCGATGAAAGTCCGTGTCTTTTACTGGTTGGATCGAACGGAACTGCAATTCGAGGGGAGATTGAGATGCTGCTTATGAGCTTGAGCTAAGCCTGCGGGAGAAAGAACGCCATGTGTTTTGTCAGTGGTCAGATTTTGGTTCCGTAGCTGCTTCTTCCGGTGATCGGTTTGTGCGTGCGTGCGTGCGTGCGTGCGTGCTACTGAATAGTCCCCGCCGAAATGACACGTTTTGCTCCCTTTAAAGAAGTTCTTGCCCGTTTAAGTAGAAGGTCCAAGTATGGTCCTTCAAATTATGAGATTTTAGTTTGTATTTCCGGCTGAAATTTGAGGGGCCAAAAAACATATCCTTGCTGGTATAGATTTCCCGGTTGCTCATTCATTGACTTCATGCATTTTAGTATCTGTAAGTTGTAGCTGTGTATTGTCTTGTTTCACACATTAGAGTCATGCACACCACATTCGGCTGGGGAAAACCGTTTTGGATGATGGTTTGATGGGTCGAAGTTGCGATTTGGAAAGTACTAATTGGATAGGGTTACGAGTTTGATATTTTGTCTACATGACCTTGGGGTTGCATCTGTGTTTGCGTTGACTTGGGGCATTTTGGATAATCCATTAACTTGTGGTTTTTCATGTTCGTGTATCAAAGGTTAGATATCGGCGAATACACGATGATAAAGGAAGAGGTCAGAAAGGTAGTTTCCAAGGCGAAGGCTGCTGGTGTGCTTCGTTTGGTATTTCATGATGCTGGAACCTTTGAAATGGGTGAAAACTCAGGTATTTTACGTGGACAGAAATTTAAAGTACCGCAAATAATGATACTCGACATCAGTACCTGTGCTCCATATCTCTGACTGCAATTGTTCAAGCCTACTAATTAATCCAAATTGTTTTATCATCTTGTCCACGTAGTTGAACTTTTGAGCTGAAGCTAAGATGATGTTTCTATCGGTTTTATCTGAATTAGGGGAATAAAGCTCTCATTTGCCAACAAAGTTAGACAATCCCCGCAACTGTGCAACTTTTTTTGTCACGGTGGTTTACTAAATGAACAGGGGCAAGTAATTATCAATGACTGTTAAAGCAATTACAGACCCTAATGGACCTTTATAAGTGACTGATCAATCATAGAGAGCAGTATCATTCATAATACCTAGGTTTGGGAGGAATGGTTATGTAAGATTCTTTTTAATGCATGTACAAACCTTTAATTTGAGTTGAAAATTTTCTGCGTCATGTTCTTTTGTCTGAGTACGGATATCAATCCTCATATTGTAATTCTAATATATTTTTATGTGAATATCCAGGTGGTATGAATGGTTCCATAGTTTATGAACTTGAAAGGCCCGAAAATGCTGGGCTAAAAAAGCCTATGAAGGTGAGTTTTCTTTTATTCTCACATCCTTAAGCATAGCAATCATTCTGGAGATGCAACATTTCATTTCAACTGGTTTACTTCATCATAGATTTCTAGACTGCTAAAAGTTCCTGTATTTTATATATAGAACAGTCAGCTCCAGTTCATCTTCAGGCTAACTCCTCAGTCAATGTGTTATTGTTTAGATCCTAGAGAAAGCAAAGGGCGAGGTGGATGCAAAGAGACCAGGTGAATTTGAGTGTGATACTCTATATGCTGATAGATTGATTGTGGTAATATAGATGGAACTCTCCTCTCTCAGTGTCCTGGGCGGACATGATAGCTATGGCTGGAGCTGAAGCAGTTTCTGTTTGTGGAGGTCCAACTATTCCAGTTGTTCTGGGCAGACTTGACTCGATGTAAGAAGCTATTTCCAATTCAATTACTATTATTCTGAAGATGCGTTGACAGCAGACAAAACATCATTTCACTCTTTTAGTATTGTCATATTGCAAGATTCTTTGCATGTCTCCATCTTTGTGGATAGTCCCTAGCTAATATTGGGTTGGTTTCATTTCTTTATTGAAGGAAGCCTGATCCTGAAGGAAGACTTCCCGAAGAAACTCTTGATGCTTTTGGTTTAAAGCAGTGTTTTCAGAGAAAGGGCTTATCGTGAGTTGCTATCCCAAGTACATCTTGAATCATGCTTGCAAATGTATTAAGTATTGTTTATTGACCATTGTATATCATTATGCAGCTAATCCTTATCCAGTATCAATTCTGTTTGATTGTTTTGCTATGGAATTCTGTCCTTTTCATTTTCTTATGCTATTCTCCAGTTTCTACTCTCAACAAAAAGAAAATGTTGATGTTGTCCTCATCCTCTAGGACACAAGAACTTGTTGCGTTGTCTGGAGCCCATACCCTCGGCAGTAAAGGTTTTGGCAGTCCGATTGTTTTTGACAATTCATACTACAAGGTTCTTCTAGAGAAACCCTGGATGTCTTCAGGTAAAGAAGAAAACATTGATGGTTCTCATGTTGTTCTGTTAGACTTTCTGCCAGACGTAGTTATGTTTGCTTACTGATTCAATTTCATTGTGGATAAAGCACTAGTTGGTATGAAATCAGTCCTGCCATCAGCTTTCCATACCCTGGAAAAGATCCTGTATGCTGATACTACGGAGTCATGATAGTAATATTTGTTTCAATTGGTATCTCTGATCCAGTGGAAAACTATTTAGTCTGTACTAGAAAAAGGTTATTATCACTTTTTCTGTTGCAAAAGCAGCTGGAGTTTTTCTCACCAGTAATCATTCTCAGTTAAGCTTCGCTCTTGATTATCCCTTGCTTTATTTCCTTTTTTGAATGCAGCTGGTATGTCAAGTATGGTAGGACTTCCTTCTGATCGTGCACTTGTTGAGGATGATGAATGCTTAAGGTTACTGATTTGATATTCCTACTATTTCCTTTCACTTTGTAGATGGGAACAGTTTAGCCATATCTTTTTGGCCATAGCCTATTATGATGAGATATATCACTGTCTCTGCCAACAGTCAACTTTCAAGGATGCACCATTTTTGCCAAGATTGAGTTTCTTTTTCTCATGATTCTGGATAAAACTTGGCTTTTGTCTTTATGATCCAACTAAATCCACATTCCATAGATATAGGAGAAGGAGCTATATTATCATGGCCTATATATGTTTCTAAGAAAGTCAATGTACAAGGGAAACATCCCAACACCACAAGCATAAGTAGCCAGTCTGGAGTAAAAGTATCAACTGATTTACTACGGATGCTTTGCATGAGAATGTTCTGTTTAATGTGATAGGTGTTCCTTTCATTTGCTTAATTGTTATACTTATCTATTATATCTATACAGATGGATTGAGAAATATGCAAATGATCAGAACTCGTTCTTCAAAGATTTCAAGAATGCTTATGTCAAGTTAGTAAATTCTGGTGCAAGGTGGAGAAGCTTGTGAAGCTTTCCATCTCATGGTGGCAAATTACGCTGTTTTTGCATCGGGTGCTGTTGGAGCCCAATCCTACAAGGGCTAAGGGCACATGCGGAGTCGGTTTTTGTACCTCCCAAAGTCGCATCAGAGGATGAAAGTCCTGTTGTTTGGAAAGCACAGAAGATCTTGTAACCAACAAATTTCTCCCACCGAAGGCTGTTTAAATGAACAATGGGCCAAGCATGCATGTTTAACTGGAAAACTGTGCTACCGTTTCATTGACATGGTACGTCAGGAGTCTTATTTTACAGTTTAACATTTGTAGTTATGTTGAGCTCGATTTTTGTTGGCCACACTACTCGACACAGATTTGCTCATAGTATGCAGAGATGAACAGTGATAAAGAAATGATCAGTAAATGTAGACACGATTGCATGTTTCTCTTCAGTTATTATTGCCACCTACGAGCTTTTAATTAAATACATAGATATGACAGAACAGCCGCACATCGCATTTCACACAGGTGATGACACGGAAGAGAAGATTTGAAACACAGAAACCCTGTTGCAGAATGGAGGATTGAGCAAGATTAATCCATTAATCCATTCACTTAAAAGCTTTAAGCTAAAGCGAGGAGCTTGTTGTAGCAATCATTCTATTACTGACCGGTGAAATATAGATTCATTTGTACCCCTTACCCATGAAAAAGCATTAGCTCCACATGTTTGCGCATCTACCATAAGTTTTCTTTAATCGGAAAACATAGTGCAAGCCTTGGCTGATGGAAGACGGCTGTGCTTTCTTCCAGCGTCAATATGCATCATAGTAGTCCTTGTCTAACCACTAGTATGGAAGAAAAGGATGTCTGCCAACAAAAAATGGATGTCTGAACATTGGAACAGTGAAACTATATTATAACGTAGAACTATGTAGAGTCGTTATCTATTCACTCTAAGGTTTGAGTTGATGGATAGCAGTGTGATTTAACAGTTAAACGCTCTAACGAGGGAGGACATGGCTAGGCCAACAAGCGAGATATAGACGACTCTGCAACCGACTCATTTAGTAAAAGATACAATAAAAACCTGAGGGATGGATCAAATGGTAAGTGTGTTTATCTTCCTCATTTAGTGTCGGGATTTGAATTACTACACTTGTGTATTTTATGTGAAGTAGAACACTGGCCAGTTCAACGCCATTTGCGCTTAGCAACCTTGGGACGAGCCTCATGGGCTACCGGAGCCACGCAAAACCTCTAATCTCTTGGAGAAACCCCTGGGATCGAGGAACTTATGCTTCGGTAATTACCCGACATGCGTTAGTTAAGAAATTGTCGCCTGCTGTGGGAATTTTCGCCGCTCGCTCTCGGGGTTTGAACCGGATCTACTAAAAAATTGCCCCAACGCAGTCGCTATTCCATCCAGAATGGATCAGTGGACACCGTCGAAGGAGAAGTCGATTCGAGTTTCGTAAATTAGCATGAATGAGATATAGGGGTGAGGTCTCTGTCTGCACACAATTATCAGATCGCTCGGTAGGAAAAAGAAGTAGTTGTCAAATATAATCATATGATTAATATTAGTTTAAGTGGTTGTAGATCCGTAGGCTATAGAAGTCCCTTTCCCCACTTGGCTTTTAGAAAATGACCTTCGACTTGTCTCTTTGGTTGTACAGTGCACTAAGCAAAAGTGACTTGCTTGGCCTGTCCAATCTCATATGATTAATATCATTTTTTTATTCTTTTCTTATCTTTTCTTTTTCCTTTGTCTTCTTCATTATGGCTAGCAGAGGGCTAGCGACCTTCGCCGGTCTCTGGTCGAGGGTCGGCAACCACCGCCGGCCCTCTGCCAGTAGCCGGTGGCCCTGTCGCTAAAATGGAGAAGAAAAGGGAAAAAAAGACGAAGAAAAGAAATAAAAAAATTGAATATTTTTTTAAAAATTAAAAATTTATCCATGTCAGCATCGGTCACGCTATGTAGGACGCTGACCGGACAACAGGGCGAGGAGATTGATCAAGAAAGATTTCTTGTTCTTATTATAAGATTGTGATTGGATTAGCAGATGTTTGGTAATTCCTCTGGCATTACGACTTTTACTACAACGATGCTGTCCATAGATCAAATTGTTTCGTGTATTGGATTTCACTTGACTATCTACGGCTCCATTGCATGTGCTTGGGGTAGAAGTTTTGTATAAATGTATCGCCATGCTATTAATATTAAGTATTTTGATTTAAGTTCTTTTCTTTCTAAGAGGTGGAATAGAATAACCCTGTTGAAGTGTAATGATCATACGTCTGTATGGATAATAATTAAATTCCAATTGAAAAGAAATCTTTAGGAGAAATAAATGAAAGGACATCAATTCAAATCTTGTGAACGATTTTCAGTCAAAATTAGTCGGAATGACTACCTTGGTAATTCGTTAAAAGGTATAGGACTAAATTGGCAAATCGTTAAAAGATTTATGACTAAATTGGCACAACTGAAAATGTTTAAGACTGAATTAATAAATTGTCAAAAGGTTTAAAACTAAAGTGGCACAATTTAAAGGTTTATGACTGAATTGACCGCCATACAATAGGTTTAAAACTTTTTGGACAATTTTCCCGATTCTATTATGACATTGGTTTTTCCTATCAACTCGACTGTGCCTCGAAAATGGAAGGACTTGACTACTGTTTTTGATCAGCAATGCAGTGGTCACTACCAGTTTCTTGCCCCATTTCGACTGCAATAAACCCAAACTCTTATATATAGTAATACAATGGAATTCTTTTTCATGTAAGTGTGGATGTCATTCCTCTTTATTAATGTCACGTAAATCTTGCTCTTTTTTCCAACATCACAAAAAGTCACTCTGAATTGCCAAAATAAATTGTGCCTATGTACATGTAGTTTCCATAAATAATTGAGCAAAGGAGTAACCTTATAGCCTATACCGTTGACTAGTACAAGTCTCTTAACTAAGTTACTATGTGACTACAAATAAGATATTTGGCTCTAAATTATAAAAAGCAACTGAAATTTTAGTGGTAATGTGGGCGACATATCAAGTAAATTTTACAAGATAATTTCTCTTTGAGCTCCCCTGGATGAAGACTTTAATTAGCTCAGGCTCTACTCAACTTGATTAGCAAAAACTAAATTCCAACTAAGCTCGAGTTAATCTCAATCTCGAGTTTTAAACAATAAGATAATATCAAAAGAAATGACGCGATATATATGTTGAGGAAACTTACGAATATAATTAAATATAGTTGGCTACACAAAAATTCAACTGCTTGACTGGGCTCCCCAGCAAGTTCAATCAAGTTATGAGCTTGATTTGATGCATTTGACTTGTAGTTAGCTCGAGTAGTTTGCGGGTAGCTCGACTTACATAATATGATTCACCGGGCGCGTGAAAGCTTAGAGCACGACGGGAGTCTGCGAAAGGTATGATGACAATATAATGCATCATTCGTCTCTTTAAAGGGAAAACTGTGAAGATCCAAAATACATGTAAACATGAGAGCGAACTTTCAAGCTTGTCTGCAACTTCGCATGCGTGATTACCCCAGAAAATAATGAGATGTCTCTGTGCGAAGGCATGATCGAGGGCCAACGAGTTTTGTTCAGACCATAACGTGGTTGCAGGCCAATGAGAATGGAGGATGCTGTTGATGCTTCAAGATCACACATCCAAGATCACGCGTCTGTACCGGAAAAAACTCAACAAGAACGACCACATGCAAACGTCGTACCATGTTCATTAACGACGACAGAAACTCTTGTTATAATCGACAGTACTTGGAAGGACTCCAGCCAAATCTCTGTCTCGAATTCAATTGGGGCAAGTGTGAGTATACATGTTCTTCTCTATCTCTAAGCATGACGATTAGCAAGGGGATGAGATTCTTTATCCCCTTTCACGTGCTGCTTTTCGGTGTCTCGTTCATAAAGTTTAAGATTGAATGTACGGCCTTGAGATTCAATTAAATAAGGATGGTGATGGATTTTCTTTGTGAAGATGGGCCGCCCATGATGGGCTAACCAAGCCCATGAAAGAAAATAACTACACTTGGCAGTTATTGTCTAGAAACAAAAGTGAGAACACACGTAAGAGTGTGTGTGGGTTGCATTTTCATCATCAGAGAAAACTCATTCTCACTAAAAGGACAAAGAAGAAGGGGCTTTGTTCAACAATTCAAGGATTGATCTCTCTCTCGAGGCTGTGATAAGTGCATTTAATCTGTGGTAAAAGAGGTATGTTCATTTCACGTAATATACTTCGAACGATCGGTGATTCAAGCGTAGAATGGGCACGTTTTTCCGCAATTTTTGTATTATGTTTAGGAATCTGTTTCCTACATTGGTATCAAAGCAATGTGTTCTTGTTTCCTGATCGTTTAATATGCTTATAACACGGAGTATTGGCCGGAATTCGTGAAACGGGGCCGACGAACGCTCGGGTACGAAAAACCGACACCCGGCCGTACTGCTTGAGGTCGTTTCTCGATTTCCGTGCGTTAAAATTATTTTTTGAAAGTGTAGGGTCGTAGTGCTCGTCGAGACGAGCAAAACGACGGGTGGCACGCCGCCGGGGGAGGCCGGACGCGCCTCCACGCGCCGCCGCAAGCGGCGGCTGCGCCGGCACGTGCGTTGCACGTGCGCAGCGGTTGCCGCGCACACGTGCAATGCACGCGCCCTACGTGTGCGTCTGGCGTGGCTGACGTCATGCTGATGTCAGCCACGCCGGTTGATTTGGACTCGGCCCGGAAGCCTGATCCGACCCGTGACTCGACCCATGTGACCCGTTGACTTGACCCGGTCATCCGTTGACCGTTGACCGTCGTTGACCGGCGTTGACTGCGTTGACCATCGTTGACCGGCGTTGACCACCGAAAAAAAAAAAAAAAAAGTTGCGTGGAAGCTTGAATTGGAGCGTTTTTTCGGTGGCAATATGTGCATATTGGAATGTCTATTGTGATGTTCAATGGATTATATGTTAATCCTTTATTGTTCTTCATTTGTTGCAGGAACAAAGGCGTACCATTGACACACACCGATAGTCGTGAGGATGGATGAACAAATGAATACTCTTGCGAAGTTAAAAGCTAATTTAGCTGCCTATCGGTGGGATGGATGTCACATGGAAATGCACATTATGAAGGTTAACAAGATAATACGGGATATCATCTCGAATGGATACCATATGTTGGATTCAGAAAAGATTGATGCCCTAAGAACCACTCTTCCGTATGAGTGGAAAATGCTGATTGATGATTTGTGGAAGGGTCCGGAGATAATATTTTTTGAGGATGGTGGATGGGATGACAGGAGTGATCCATGGATTCCAGAATACAAACAGTTTGCTGTGGATTTTCTAAAGGAATTCATAAGGATTGGGGCGAAGAAGACGTCAACTCTTGGGATGAACTCATCCTGGCGCAAAATAAATGCGCC